ACCTGAAGTGGTCCACCTCTTTTTGGGGGAAGTGTTCCGAGAACCGCATTCAGATCATCAATGCATTCTGCACATCTGTCTTCTAGCAACTCCGAATCCGGACATTTGCTCAGGTCAATGAACTCGAAATCTGCCGGAGTAACCCTTCAACATGCCTGATTGATCACCGGAGCACACGACAATTTAAGACAATCTCACTTCTCATCGTATGCCAAAGGAAGCCACTGACGAATGTAGTTCCACAACGGCCGCTCATTGCCGAGTAGGTCTGCAAGCCGGTCGCAGAACTCCGACTCGTTCAACGTTTGTCCTAAGAAACAAACATCATTCCCAACGAGAGTTCCTGCAAAGGCGGCACCCACAACCAACAGGGTCGCCCATTCACGGTACAGCATCGCGAAGTGTGAAATGGTGGTGTCAGTACGACCCCCCCCTGCCTAAAGCACGGTTCGGTACAACCCCCCCCCTTCCCCAACACTACCTAACACTTTGAGTTACCAGCTTCCTACCAGAAAATTTCCCCCACATTTTCCAGTTTTTCATCAAAAAATTTTCCGTCAAGCCGCGAAAAGTCAACAACCGGGAAAAATTTTTCCCAACGCAGTAAATTTCTCTCAAAGGCACATACGATCCCCCTCTCCCAACAACGACCAAATACGACCCCCCCCTCCTCCAGCGGCAATACGACCCCATGTGTTTCACACAATGATGCTGCACCCTGCGCCTTCTACAACAACGCGCTTATATCCTATCAATGCAGGAAAATTTGAGAGCTGAAGATTCCCTTTATGAGGATACATATAGAAAGCCAGGGATAGGTATGGGTTAGACGGGTGAAGAAAGTGAGTTAGAGGAATAAGGTTCTATACAAATTGATGAGCCTTCAAAGTGGAAAGGGATGGGTGCCATCAAAAAGTGTAACGTTGAAAAATAGGGCTGGGTGCTACCAAGAAGTGTAATTCAAAAAAAGCAAATTGATTCCCTGCCCCCAGTATAAACCAATCCCAATGAGATTGAAGTGGCCATTTGCCTGTGCCACCGCTACCTATTTACCCTGTATAATGAAAATATTAAGATGGTAAACCACTGTGGTTTACAGTCTATATCGCCCAATAAGCCAGGGCATGTCAGGGGCAATGGAGTGAGTCGCCTCCGGCTGCGTTTTCTAAGAATGATGATTGGTGACCGATCGATTTAGGAGGAAAACAAGCAGTATGAAAAACGCCGCGGGTGGGCTCATCACAGGTGCCGCGCCTCCTGATACCGCGATACTCGTGCCGTGCCTCCCTACTGCTCTTCGCCCGGTCTTCATTTTAGTTACTAATGGAACTTTACCAGCATTCCAAAAAACCTAATCTATGATGGAAATGGCCTTAATTTTTTTTCTAAGACCAGAATAGAAGAACAATTTTCATCAAGGCGACTGCAAACAAACTATGGAAAGAAAAAGATACACACCCATGCTTCCGATAGTTTTCAGGAGACTTCGCGTATTCGAGCTGCGAGAACGTGTGCCATGACAATACGCCTGCATAAATAAATGTAATGTAATGCCCTCTGTATGAACGAGGAAGACGTCAAAAAAAAACTGCATATGATCAAAGTATTTGATAAGTGGGCGATGAGCGCACGTTCACATGAGCAGTAATCCGTCGCATATCAAAAAAGGCTCAGAGAATTTGAGGAAACCATCGCGAATGTGAGAAGGGCCAGCTGAAGGTTCTGCCCAGTGGGAAGTCCCAAATTTACCTCTAAGCCTAAGGGTTCTTGAGCATGGTTTCTCATTTAAAGGCAGTTGCTATGATGATTTGCTGTTCGGCCTAAAATGCGCAAGGTAGGGAGCTACTAAGTTGGGAATGGCGAACAAGAAAAGGAGTGAAACAGTCAAATCCTGCGCAGAAAAAGCCCCCCCTATTCTCATGCCTCTCAGCAAATCAATTTTAGGACGCAGTTTCCTGTAGCATCTGACATACCCGCTACCCGAAGGTACGGCTGCTATGTGTACCCACATATCCACTTCATACCCATACCTCGCTTCAACTTTTGCTTAGGCAAATCATCGATCTAACCAGCTAAGGAAACGATCGTCCTTCCCATGTGGGCGCGGCAGTTATGGTCGTAATGTTGTGGCGCTGATAGAGCCCTAATAAGGGCCCTCCCTTTGGAAAAGGCATCATGCAGCGCCTGCTCAGGGTCGCGGAATTCCGTCCTGCTAGGCGTATTAATCCTACTCTTCTTGGGGGATATCGTGCCAACTGCCTTTGAAGGTAACCTGTGAGAGAGTTCTCACATATCCTGTTGTCTAAAGTTTCCTTACATTCTAGAAGAAAACGTGACCGCACAACGATCGAACTCACTTCGATGGCCAGTAGCATCTGAAGAGCTCCATGATAAGCTCGACGAAGAGGACTTGTGAGTAGTTCTGGAGGCAACACCGCCTCATCTGCTAGCAGTGAGAGCAACACCAAGACATCTGCATGGTTTGGGAGCAGCACCGTCTTAAGGCGATCAAACTTGCTGAAAATCCCAATTTCACAAGCGTATTCAAGGTATCTTCAAGAAAAACACTATACTCGACAGCGCCTGTACAGAACATCTAAAGAAATAGCTTAGTACTGACCGCTTCTATGTTATCCGAACCGAGAACTATGCGCTCAACAGTATGCCATATGTCCTGATGCATGAACGTGCGCTGCTTGACATCCATGGCTATCTTTCTAGCAAGGCTATTCATTTGTCGAGCTCGGTGGTGGGGATTTTGCATGCGCTCCAAGCCCATCCGCTCCTGAAAAAATTCTGCTTGTATACACACTCCGTAGCTCTGCTGGGCTCTCCCAGTGAATTGTTACTTTGAAAGAAGCCAGAAAAGGCGATTATGTTGCAATTATACCCTGAAGACGGTCCCCGCGCCCAACCAATTCGCAGGCGTGTTTCCTTGTTGAAGTAGTCTGACTCACAGTCTCTGACAAAGCCCCCACTTTCGCGGCTACCGCAAGTAACGAAGGCGTTGCGACCTCATAAGCAGCAGTTCTGACGCCTCCCTAGTTACCCTATCCAAGGGAACCCAAGAGCTACGTTTTTGTTACGAGTTCAGTTCTTATATTGTGTTCTCGGGTTCTTCCAACTGTCGGATGGTATGAGCATCGGATCCCTATTGTGTACTCCATTACCTTTTTGCTTTTTCTTCTTTCCTAAAGAGCACATAGCAACTAGAGGTTCGCAACCAAACGGCACTCCCCACAGCATGCAATAGCAGATATTAAAAAATTTGTGCGCTCGAGTTGTCAAGGGTACTTTTTCAGACGGTTCAGTTCTGCATGTACCGCTTCACTTTACCCTGTCCACCATTACCTTCCTGCACAGTAGTCCAGCCTGATGGAGCATTTTAGGAGCCATTCAGTCAGAAAAATCCAAGGAATGCTCTAATACTGCAACGGCCTAATGTAAGGGCTCTCGGCACAGAAGATTTTTGGTTCATAAAATACTTGAAGTTGCCCTAAAGTCAGAAAAAGCTTTCTTTAATGAGACCCACAGGCAGGGGAAGCAGGGCACGAAGTACTACTTTGAATCAACAAAAGGAACATCTAAGCGGTACCCTATCAGAAGGCATCCAAAGAAACGACTTTTGAACCTATACGGTCTTTGAAGCTACAATAACGAGTGTAACGATAGTCCTCGGGTCAAGAGGGTCCTACCTTTTCAGTGCGCGTTCGTCGCTTCATCCTTGTCTTACCAGCAGCGTCCATTTCATCGGCGACCTTAAATTAACGTCATCTGAACACGTCTCAGCAGAAAAGAATGCTCCTCCAAAAGAGGTGCGGAGCGCTCTACTTCACTACTGAGCGCTCAACGATTACCTCAGCCGAATACATCTCGGATCCAGGAGCTTCCTCAGAGTCATCGTTCGCAATATCAACCGTATCAAATGCTGAAGACGCTCTCATGTCCACAAAATCGTCGTCGAACGAATCAGGATTGTCCCGTCTGCGATCCCAGGTCTCTTTCCAGCACTCTGTCTGCGGTAACGTACCAGTCAAACCGGTTTTCTCAGCCGCATTGGTCGAAACTCGTTTGAACTGTAAATAATGTTACGCGTCATCTTACTAGAATCCACTGAAACTTGTTCGTATAACAATCAGTGGGCTAGTATTGCTGTTAAGTAGTGAACAAAGAATCAGCCGACATACTCATAATCTACTTTTCAAATTGGGCAATAGTCTATCCTGGTCGAGAAAAGTTATCGTCTTGGAGAGTGGATATATCACGAGGTGAACAAAAAATCTAAAGAAATCAGATGCCAGAATACACAGATCGCAAATTATGCAAGCAAAAAAGCGTATTCGTGAGCCCGTGCTCTCCTTGGCGCGTATGGAGAAACTGTGACTACAGAAAATGAACGGCAAAGGATTCTGTGTGAATCCATTCACTCCTCCGATCGGTTTCCATGTAATCTTTTGTCACAGATTCTCTAAGTTGAATCCAGCGCTTTCCTTTTCGCGCATCACGCCGAATCGCCGACTCTAATAAGTCGGCTAAACTTCCACGTTCAGTACTTCCGCAGTTCTTATAAAGTAATCTTTAGGGAAAGAATGAATGAAAGGCAGTCGAAAAGAGTGACTAGTTATTCACATTCTATTAGGTTGTTGCATAAGTTCTTATACACGTGTTTGATCCTCTCCTATTTCGTTCGCATGGATGTTGGTATTACGTCATCACGTGTGCATTATACTCTTTCATTACACTAGCTATCACTCACCGAGCTTGCATTTGCAGTACACAATGCGCAGTTACGTTTTGTCACAGTACACAACAATTTGCACTGTGAAAAAACGTAAATTCGCATTGTGTACTGCAAATGCAAGCTCGGTGAGTGATAGCTAGTGTAATGAAAGAGTACAGTGTACACGTGATGACGTAATACCAACATCCATGCGAACGAAATAGGAGAGGATCAAACACGTGCTTAAGAACTCAAGCAACAACCTAATAA